CACTCGAGCCTAGCTCGACTGTTAACCCTTCCACGGCTGGGGAGCTCGCGGTAAGATTTTCAATTCGAAACTTTTATCTTTGGATTAATTTAAATTTGAGTAAATTGCAATTTTAGTTCGGTATGTTTTACTACCATAACTTTTTCGTCCCCTTCGAATTGATTTTTGTTTTTCGTCCATGATGTTTGCATAAATGTTTCAAAAAGGGACGAAATTGCAACCTTTTTTGTAAAACATAAGGGACCTTTTTGTTGCGAAAATGACCTGTTTATAACCTTTTCTACAAACATAAGGGATGGAAATCAAAAAAGCAATTCGAAGAGGACGAAAAAGTTTATATAGTGAAACATAGAGGATTGAAATTACAATTTACTCTTTAAATTTTATCATCTTTTAGTTGCATAAATTAGTTATTATTATTATTATTATCTGAATGTGTATATGATTTCTTGCAGCTATGCTCCGTCACACTAGTGACGAGTCTTTTCTTCTGCTTGAGGAGTGCGGCTAAGATAACGCACAAGGCTCAGGCGGTGACATCACTCGCCGCCAAGTGGCACGCGTGCGCGACTATCGACTCGTTTGATGAGCCGCACGATGACACGCCGACAGCTGTCGGGATTGGGCCGGTGGCCGCCAGCTGGGACTCGGACAATGAGGAAGCAGATGGAGAAGATGTGCTTGATAACACTAATCTTGTCCCAATTTATGCAAACACCATATCCTACCAAAAACGACAAGCAATAGGCAAGTGGGGCTCTTTTTTTTCTTCTTCAAATTTTTATTTTATTTTGAATGTCTGATGAGAATAAGATTTTGAATGAAACCTCAAACAATGCAGTGACGTATTTTGAGCACAACAAAGCTGGAATTACGGTGTATGGATTCATGCTGGACAGGACTTGGCTGCACACGATTTTCGCTATTCAGCTCTCGCTCACTTTGTGGATTTTGAACAAGACGATTGGTATTTCGTGATTTTGGTGAACCTTTTTTATGTGGTATTTTCGGTAATGCTCGTGTGTGTAGTTTCTTCTTGGTGTTAATATGAGTTTTTGTGACTGGCAAAGTTTTGAATTTATCTTAGCTTTCATTGTGTGTTGGTTAGAAAGTCTTGTTAGAGTGTTCATATATGGTTGTTATTAGATATGCTCGCTCTCATGTGTGTGGATGTGTCAATGTGTCTAAACTTTACTCCATTCTCAGTTTTCCCGAGTAATGAATTTCAAGATTTTTATTTGATTTCATGTAAGAATTAAAATTATGTACTGATGAACAATTGAAGTAGCAAGATGTATTGGTTCTCAAATGATGTAATCTTGTTCGTAATACAATGTAATTCGTCTATTTTCTTCTTCATTTCATTTCATTTTCCTTCCTTTTGTTTTTCAATAAAAAATATACAAAGTTTGATTGTTTCTTCAAATAAAACTAATGAAAAAGGTGGAAAAAATGGGTGGAAAATTTTTGAATTTATGAAAAGATATGGGATAAATTGTGAATTGGCAAAATTGGTATAATGTAAAAGTAGTAAAATTGTAAAGGATTAGTTAAAAGATATGTGAGCAAATAAATAGTGAATTTTACTGAAAAATATGTAGTAATGGCTTATGATGACTTTAATATAGAAAATATGAATATATTAATAGTAAATTAAAAAATATATATACAATTAGAGTTCTAATAAAAAAAATCACAGTAATATATTTTTGTATTAAATTTATTTATATTTTCTATATATATGTTATGTGTATATACATGAATTAAAATGCGAAATAGTTTTAAATTTTACTAAGATGAACCACAAATACAGTTGAAAATATTTGCTTCTCTTACAACCCTACTTATGATTTAAAGTCATTTCGCATTTCGCATTCATTTAACAAAAAAAGAAAAAAGAAAAGGGCTTGCACTTAGGGATTCAAATTTTGTTGATTTTAAAACTCATGTACAATCTATAACATTATGTCTAGAGCTGGGGTCAAACCCGACCCTCGTGTAGGTGATGAGCTTGCTCCATCAGCTAAAGCTCTTGAACACAACTCTAAAAAGAAGGCAGTTAAGGTTGCAGTTGGTTGGTTTTCTTTGTGCTTGTCATGGACACCTTTTGATTATCTGTGATGCATGTTGATTCATAACTCATCTTTTGTAGTAGTGCTGTTCTCTTATGCAAGTACCTCTCTTAAAGTTATTCTTATGACAACAACTACTATGTGACCCGCGCGATGCACGGAAAAATAATTACGATTGTATTATAACATTAATCATGATTTATCCATTGTTTTTAAATTAAACTGGGTTGGACACAGTTCGACCGGATGGACCGAGAACCGGTTTATAACCAGTCCAGTTCGCGTGAATAAAATACTTGCTCTCGAATCTGTCAACACCAGTCGGGACTGGTAGGATCGATACGGTTTTCTAAATAAATTTTGTTATATTTAAAATTATTTTAAATAAAATTATATATTTAAATAAAATAGAGATTTATAAATTATTTATCAATTAGTTTAAACATTTGAATTTATAAATTGTTTAGATATCTAAGTAACACATTTTATTTAAATTTATTACAAAAAGTACTATATATATATATTAAAATATTTATAAATTAAAATATGAACAAACGACAAATGATTTAATGAAATAGCTTGATCATTTCGATGACGGTCCAGTTCTGAAAACCTTATATTTACTGTACATTAATAAATATTATAATAAAATATTATTTAATTCACATAAATATTAATAAAATGATATATATATATATATATTCATAAATCATTAAACATGTTGTCATAAAAGTATTGTTAATACGATTATTTGAAATTTGGACTACATCACATTCAATATAAAATATTTTTAATATAAAATTTATGTTTAGGTTCAATAATCGATTTGGTGTGGTATATATAACTTAGTCACCTGAGACCATCCAAGTTGTGTCAAGTTTTTTGACTATTCTAAATATCATTTAAAAGTAATTCAATCAACCTGCGCAGTACCATAATTCAATCACCCAATTGATCCAAATTTTTTTCTTATTTTCTTTAAATATATTTAATTTCATGAAATAAAAATATAATCTGATTCATATAATAAATGTCTACACCAAATGGTAGTATATTAAGATTATAATTATATATCTAAAGATGAATTAATTATTTTTACTGTATGCATATTAATAAAAAATAAACATAGTAATTTTCAAAAAATTAAGATTAATTGATTGATTATGCAATTTAAACAATATTATTAGCGTTCAATATTTTTTAAAGGCACAATATAAAGTCTGAGATTCTAAAACTTTTGGTATATTTTGAATTGAGATTTTATAAATATAGAGACCGAGATTTTAATATTGTTCGTTGTTTCTAAGAAAAAAATAAAAAAAAAAATATTCACACTTAATAAATCTTAGCCGAATTTTTTAAATAATAAAATGAACTTAAGCCCAAAAATTTAAGGTATCATGCTGTAGGATTTTCAAAGAAAAAAATAAAAAAAATAATAAAACTTACTATTTATAGGCTGCATTAAATTCTGACCTATTTTTTTGCCACTACTTTAAGTAAATGTTTATTATTATTATTATATATATATATATAGATATTTTGGATGTCAGTTCACTATTTCTGTCTTGCTTTTGTCCTTGCCTTGGTTTTGAATTATGCAAGTTCATGCAGACAGGGGTTTTCGATTTATATGACAAAGGGAGAGATTTTAATAAATTGATTTGTTCAACATTAAATCGAAAATCCTAAATCGTACCTAGAAGTCAAAATCAAGACAATAAAAAGAAGATTTGAAAAGTCAAAAGAAAGTTTGAATTTATATTATTTTCTTTTATCTAGTCTGTTTTATTATGGACCTATTTATTGTTTATATGAAGGAAATCCGAAGAGAGGATTACTTACCATGCATAGCGCAAAGGAGATCTGCATGAAGAATAGAAGATGGTCGTATCTACCTAAAAAAAAACTGAGTTTGATTTATTTTTATTAAGTGCTCAAATTAGAGAGCTTGTTCTCTGATATTTGAGAGTGAGAATTATTGATCTATTCTTCGAGGTGTTTGGGATGAACATATTTTCACTTCGCGAGAAATTCGTGTTGTAAAAGTCCAAGAGGAGTGGCTGAAAAAGTAGTTGAGTGAAGTGAGTACATCGTAGGTTAGGATGAGGGAGCATTCATTGTAAACTTTAGTTGTAATAGGTCAAACACTTACTTTATTAATGAAGCAGTTCCGAAGGGAGAGTGCGATGCTCTCTGAATATTTAATTTTTATTTGAACTGCTTTCGCATTTAAGTGAACGTACATTGTTTACTTCCTAGGTGCAATTATGTAACTCCCTAAAATATTCAAATGCGACTACCTACACCTCTTAAAAAAGGAGGTAGAAAGAAAAAACCATATACAAAAATACATACTCTTAATAAACATTTTTTCAGAGAATTCATTTTCCTCGTCGATCTCCACAGCAAATCGGGGACATCGGTGTCTCCTCATTTTTACAATTTTGTTACATTTTTATTTCCATGCAATTGTATTTATTGTCTAGTAACTCCAAATTAAACTGCCTAATTAATATCATTCATAATCGAATTAAACTGCCTAATTAATATCATTCATAATCGGTGGCGGTCGATCGTCAACATACATCTATTCTAATTATCAAATATATATTTTTAACTTATTAAAAAATTAAAAATAGTGGATTAGTTATTTATTTTTTGAATATCTTAATTCAAAATCGTGAGATCTTATAATTATTCATACAACATAATGAATTTCCAACGAAAAAGTGATGCCGAAACACTTTGTTAATTTGGCATGCAAATTTAATCAATGATAATGATTCTAAAATTATATGAGATTATATTCGTGCACTAGTTGATTTTTTTATTTTTTTTTTATATCTATTTTTTTGGTACAACGCACTAGTTGATTTTTACTGTTGAGGTTAAGTTACCACCTATATAAAGGGAAAATAAAAGAAGAAAAATAAAATAGATTATTAAACAACACATAAAATTTCATTAATTAACTAATTAAAACGAAAAAGACACAACCCACATCAGCTATATATTATTAATTCCCGCTCTCAGTTTTCCCCGGAAGAAAATAAGCCGCTGCTGCCACCATCCTCCGCCGAGCCGGAATCTCTTATAATCCCTTCAAATTCTGCAAAAATTCAAATTAAAAAGGAAATTAATAATTTTTTTTCCCATCTTCATCCAAAAATAACTAATTTCTCTCTCTCTACTTTTTTTTACCGGTCACAGTTGACATTGGGATCTATCTTGATATTGATGGTGACGTGGCAGAGGTTGGGCAGCCGCTGGGCCTTATCCAGGTTAAGGGGCAGTGAGCTGGCAATCCCCTTAAAGCACTGGCAGATTGCCCGGCGGTCCCCGGTGGATGACATGGCCATCTTGTCCAGTGACTGGACGGCGGCGCAACATGCAGCGTTGGGCTGGGCTTCCCCGCTTAGCAGGTAGGCCTCACATGGGAGCACCTGGGAGACCGCGTCGTTGCACTGGATCTCTGCCCAGACCTGCGGGCCCAATGCGACCAGGCCCATTAGAACCAAGGCCCAGAAACACCTCACAGTAGAGCAGCCTGCCATGAACTGATTAGAAAAAATGCGGCTAGTGTTTTGTGATGTGAATGATGAAGGCAAGTGTGCCTTATTTATAATGAGAGAGAAGAATAAAAATATGGTGTGCATTTACTGTTTAGGTGAGTAATTTATAGGTGACATTTACTATTAGGTGGTGATTTATTGAATATTGTTAGGGGTTTTTGGAGGTAAGTGGATGACTAGATGAATTTTGTATGCATGGATACAACACATCAGCACTGGCTGTTAAATCGGAATTGTTCATAATACAATGTAATTCGTTTATTTTCTACTTCATTTCATTTTTCTTGCTTTTTTTTTTCAATTAAAAGTATATACAAAGTTTGATTGTTTTTCTTCAGATAATACTAATGAAAAAGGTGAAAAAAAATGGGTGGAAAATTTTTGAATTTATGAATAGGTATGAGATAAATTGTAAATTGAGGAAATTGGTACTATAATATAAAAGTAGTAAAAATGTAAGGGATTAGTTAAAAAGCATGTGAGGAGATAAATATTGAATTTTGTTGGAAAATGTGTAGTAATGACTAATGATTTTTTTTAATTTAAAAAATGTGAATATATTAATTGTAAATTGAAAAAAAAAAGTATATACAACTAGAGTTCTAATAAAAAATTGAAAGTAAATATATTTTTATATTAAATTTATTTATATTTTTCTATATATGTTATATGAATATACGTTAATTCAAATGTAATAGTTTCGAATTTCACGAAGATGAACCACGAATATAGAATTCCAATCGCGAATCGGGTCCAAAATATTTGCTTTTCTTACANAGAAGAGGGCATGCACTTAGGGATTCAATTTTGTTTATATTAAAACTCATGTACAATTTACTTTAGTTTCACTAGTACGTAACCCGTGCGATGCACGGGATGTAAAATTTGGAAGAATAATATAACCTCACGTGCATTAGGATCGAAATTGAAATCATTAAAATACATAGAAATATTGTTGAATCATAAAAAGTTCGGTAACAATCATATATTATTAAAAACTTCCTTATACACAACATTATGCGTTTGATTATTTGGTAACTCTTCATTATCACAAACTAATATTTTCAAAAGATACAAATCCTAAAAATCAAACTAATATTTTTGGTGAACAAACTAATATTTTAGGATTGGTGAACAAACTAATATTTTAGGATTTCTAGTATTTGTCTCTTTTTGGTGAACAAACTAATATTTTAGGATTAGTTATATGAATAAGGTTGTCTGTTTTTTGTGTTCTTTTCATTCATTTTCATTCAAAGAATCCGATGACTTGTATAATGAAATCCGAATCTTAAGTCGAAATATTTAAAAAAAGAGTTTTTAAAAATTGAAAAGTCAAGGAAATCAACTCAGATTAATTAAAGGTCAAAGAATATCCGCTTCTTGAAATAAAGACGTGTGCTATCATTAACCAAATATCCGGTTATTGATATAGAGTGGTTACCAAAAAATAGAACGCGATAAAGACGCTTTATGAAAATATCAATAGAATAAGGTCATAACAGATCGCTATACATTTTAACGATAAAAACTCAGATGGAATGATTTATGATAATTATGTCGTAATTAGTGAATTAATTAATTAGATGTGTGAAAAGGTCATAATTAGTGAGAAGTGTGAAAAAAGACATAATTAATGAGAAGTGTGCAAATGACATATTTAATGAGAAGTGTGAAAAGAACAAAAACTTACCGGTTTTGGAAAATATTTAATGCAAATCCGACATTGACCATAATTTGACCTACTATTTTGAATAAATGTTAATTTTTATTATATAAGTATAAATTTCATTCATGTAAATTTTGTTTACATTAAAACTCATATACAATATATTTTTTCATATTGCTTAATGTTGTACATTGATGAATTGGGCTAGTCCACCACACCAGAGGCCGCATTATTTATATTAGAATTGAACCCATTCAGACCCAGACTCGTAAAAAGAACTCAAGAGTCCACATGCCCATTTCTATACTGATCTCTCTTTGACTCGAGCGCTGATTCGCAAGCTAGCATCAAATGATGATCTCTCTGGCCCGAGGAACCGAAAAAGCAACCACTTTACCGGTCTCAACATCAAAAGCCGAAATATGGGTCTCATCATCAAAAGTTGGGTTTTTGCATGGATACATGTGTCACTCACTCACGCCCTTAATTGGCAAACACAATTCTTGTCTTTGAAAAAGTCTAAATTAAATACACTAAAATTTTTAAATTCCGTGAAAATTTTTTAGAATTCCAAATAAATACGCCCCAATTAATATTGATTGAAATTCATAGTGCTAATTTTATCCAAAAATTGGTAGGTATAAGTACACATTATGTTTTTCTCAAATTTTATAAATAAAATTGCCACAAATCACATAACTCCAAGAGAAAAAAATAACATTAGTTGTAATCTATATATATATATATATATATAGATTTTTCGTTTCCCGCTCTTTTTGGAAGGGGTAACTATGACAAAAAAATTATATTGTTCTTTTTCATTGAAGTATAAAAATCTAACTAAAAGTCGTTAATATAACAATTTAATTATAAATGTGATATATACTATTATATAAAATTTTATTTTAATTAAAGTTTTTATATATAATATTTATTTATTTTTGGTAAGTTGTGCATGTGCAAAGGATTAATACTACTCTCTCCTATTTTTATTATTTATCATTATAGCTTAATTGATCATTTGTCAAATAAATATCATTTTGACTATTTTGTACATATTTTCCCATTATTACCCTCATCTAACTAATAAATACATTACGTCTTTTCATATTCACTCTCTATCTTTTCTCAAAACATCCATCTATATCCTTATTAATGAGAATTATTATTGGCAAAAAAAAATATTCTTAATTACTGTTCAACTTCACATTTATTAAAAATAAGAGGGAGTAAGTATGTTTCAAATGGATGCTAATATAAAAAATTCACGCCATAAAGTCACATTCTAATCCGTTATCATAATATCATTGATATTACAGCCATTAATAAAAGAACATAACATATTCCCTTTCTACAATATATTATGCTAACGCGGCTGAATCGTCGAGATTTATCACGCCGCCGGCGGAGCACCGGGAATCAGCGGTGGAAGAAGGGGAGTGACCGGCGGAATTGGAATCAGCGGCGGCAGTAAGGGGGTGACCGGCGGAATCGGAATAAGCGGATTTGACGGCGGCAGTAAGGGAGTGACTGGCGGAATTGGAATCAACGGCGGCAGTAAGGAATTGGCCGGCGGAATCGGAATCAGCGGCGGCAGCCCCGGAGTCAGCGGTGGGAGAAGGGGAGTGAGTGGTGGAATCGGAATCAGCGGCGGCAAACCGGGAATCAGCGGCGGCAGCAATGGAGGCAACGGCGGGATATTAATGGTGGCTTTGCCTGACGTCACTGATGGGGCCCTGGAAAGAAATAATAATAATATAATTTAGTTACATGAATATATCATTCAAGTTTCATCTAATAATTAAATAAAAGCACCACATTAATTTATGTCTTTTTTTAATATTTATTTTTTCCTTTGGAGGCGAATATTTATTTAAATAGATGGGGGGCCATCTTTATGTGTAGTAGGATAATAATAATAATAAAAAAATAAATAAGTAAGTAAGTTTGAGGGAATGTTTTTTCAAACACCATCCATCCAATAATTAACTGGGCATCTGAGTCCTGGTTCAACCACATAATTAATTATTGTAATGAATATTAACTTAAAAAGATTCAAATTATATTTTTACTATCATTATTTTATATATATACATAAAAATAACTAAAATAGATAATTTATATGTACCTAAAATTTCACATAATATAATATATCAGTTATAATAAATTAATTACCGTACAAATATATATTCATAATTCTATTTTTTTTTAAAAAAAAAAAAGAAATGTAAATAATTGACATGTGAAACCGGGTTTATCCGATAACCCGGTCGACTGATTCAATGCCAGGTCGACTCGGTTTTGTTTTAAATAAAAAAAAAAATGATAAAACTCAAAAAGAAAGAAACTAATTTTATTTTATGCTTACAGGCAATTGACAAGCGGCGAAAAACCAGCAAGATTGCAGAGACTATGGAGCCTTTGAGCCTTGGAGGGGATAAATCCAAAGCCCAACGTATTTTGCCTCAAACATCCGCACAAATGTTCCTCACTGTCCCCATTTCCCGCCAAAATGTTTTTGGCGGCCGCACAACACTGATTATCCGGCGTGATTGGGACAGGATTTTGCAAATAGTTCCGGCAAGGAATCACACGCGACACAACATTCAGACAATCGTTTGCCCTGACATTGTGAATTACAGCAAACAAACAAACCACAGCCATCATTTTAGCCATGGCTGACAAAACACTTGGAATTTTAATTTATTTACTTGATAAAAGAATAGTAGGAATTTATATAGATTATAATGTGGAGGGTTAGGGTAAGTTGAAAAGACAGAAGGATTCGAGTTGTGATTTGGACAAAGAATTAAAAGGAAAATATTAGGGAATTGACAACTCTTTTGGTAATTGGTTTGTGAGTGAATTTGCTTACTATAAATTTTTGTCCAAATTGTAATGTAGCTGTAAATTGATTTCACTTTCTAAAAATTTTATCCAATTGTGATAATTTGCCAACTAACTGAATGATTTACAGCCTTTTCACATTCTATAATTTGGATGTTTCTTTTTGTAGGTGAAAATTTAGGTTGTAATTTTGTTCATTTTATTGAAGGATTGATGTGTTTTATAATTAGAAATTATATAGAGCTAGTTGAACGGTTAAATAATATTAAATTGTTATTATAAACTAAATGTTGGATTAAGTTTTGTACAGTACGTACACTAATTTAAAATAAAATTACCTGTCATTATGACAATTGAGGACCTATATTAATTTATAATAAGACTACAATCATCATGAAAATTGGGAAGGAGTATTTATGTTCTATGTAAATTCATCAACCCCATTCGCATAGATGAATAAAAATTATAAATATATGTTATTTCTTAAAAAACGTGTTAAAAAAATTCAAATTATATACATTATTTTCTTAAAACCCCTACAATTTTATAGGCTATTGTTTAAAAAATATTTAAAATTGTCCATACCATTTTTAATAATAGCTACAAATTCATATGTTAGTTAAAAAATACAATAAAAACACATATAATATTCTTGGATAATTATTAATTATTACATCTAGTAAATATATGAAAAATATGCTATATTATATATATATATATGTATACAACAATACATTTAATATTTTTTAAGATAAAATAAGAATCATATAAATATCTTCATAATCCTAGTCATCAATCATTTATTAAAGTTGACTATCAAAATCATTTTCATGGTTAAAATCATTTCAAAAAATTCCAGAGTTACTTCACAAATGGAAAATTTTTGTTTCCAATCAAATATAATTAAATATTTGATTAAATATAATTTTGATGTGTTGATAAAAATAATAATGATAAAATATAGAACTAAAATATAATTAAATTTAACTAAATATTTGTTAGTAATTATTTTGGAATTTGAATTTTGTAAAGATTGTATTATAATATACGGAATGACTGTATGCATCATATTGTTAGCTGGTGACTAATTCAATGTACAGCTACGAAATTCTTACCTACAAACGTATTTTCTAAATTAATATGTATTTAATATTGACTGGTTTCAGCTAAAATACTAATATCTGTATAGGTATATGATACACATATGATTGTGCTTTGGAATTGAAAAGTAAGCTAATATAATCATGTTACTGGGCCCGTGAGTGTGACAACTATTAAATAACAACTCATGAGGTAAATAAAAATGGAATTAAGGAGGATATATAATAACAAGAAATTTATTTTTTGTTATTACTTTTGGTAAATCAGTAATGGACATGATAATGTATAACTATACAAGGCAGGACAGTTGGATAAATATAACACATAACCTTATCAGACCAAGAATTACGCTATTTTAACCTAAAAAAAAAGGTCAAGCGCTGCGCATGAAAGTTGTGAACAGTGTAGCGCCATATGTGGTGATGATGAGGTGAACATAATTAATATATACATAATTATCTACAATAATGCTGCTTCTCTCCTCATTTGTCTACTCCCTTGTAAAATGTATTCACAAAATCCGTTTTACAATGAGGAGTAGCAAGGGAGTAGACAAATGACGGGGTGAGTAGCATGGTTCTAATTATCTATTTATTTAATCCATCCAATGCACAATGTTATCACAACTGTAGTGATGAGGTGGACATAATTAATGTATACAATATAGAAAAGAATATGGTTCATTCACACCAGAGGAGAGAGAAATATTATTACTATTTTTAAAATATTTAATTAGTTAATTTTTTTTCTTTCATATTTATAATTTTTTTATTTTAATCAAGTGAACAATATTGAGTTTGATTATATTGTACATTAGAGATAATCTTTTAGAATTAAAGTTGTGAACCTAACAATTAATTCCTATCGATATTAACTTTATATGTTTGATTATATAAAGAACATTATATGTTTGGTTCAAGTTGATGATAATAAACTATAAACTATTACATTTTTGCCCTTCATTTTGAATTAAATTTGCAAATATTACCATGAACATAAAAAAGCTGTGCGTATAGTATTAATCAGTTTCCATTGAAAACTCATGAAACATTCATAACTTCTGGAAAAAATTATATATCACAAATTGTGAATAGCCATATCCCCCTAACGGTTGAACAAAGAAAGAAGAAAAATAAGGGAAAATTGACTCGATTTTTTCACTATGCGAGGCCATGGATCTCGGCGGCGGAGGCGCTGCCGCCACAGGACCCCACATTATTCTCCTCCCAAAATTCTGCAATTAGGGACATCGAGCCTCCACATTCATCGGCGATGTTGCCTTATTCTTCAGCAAATTCAAAGGCGGAAGCTTGAAGGACCTTGGATCTAGACTCTGAAGGATGGAGGATCTTGCGGGGGCAGCTTGAAGGCTGGTGAATCTGACGCCGGTGGCGGCTTGGTGGACTGTGGATCTAAAACATTTTATATAAAATAATATAATTTTATATAATTTAAAGTAATTTTATTTAATCTAAAACAACATTATTTAATTTAAAATAATATTATTTAATCTTTAAAATATTAATTTAATTAATTTTATTTAATTTAAAAATATTTTTAATATAAAATATTTTTATTTAATTTAAAATAATATTATTTAATTTATAAAAATATTAATTTATATAATTGAATCAATAATTTTATTATTTATCATAAACTTTTATCCACTTTAATAAACATGGGACAATTTGTATCCAAAATTTGATATGGCAAATTGAAGGGATTAATTTTATCCACTTTAGTAAGTGTGTTTTTAAGAAGACTGGTCGTGTGATGATTGTGTATTTTATTTAGAATGAATTTGTTCTAACAATTGTCTGATCTCTAGACATCATTGAATTTGGGAAAGAATTGGAATTTCTCCCTACACTTTCTATATCTCTGCATTTTACAGAATGATTTTGTTTATTATGTTCATTCGGTTTTTATATTTTAGTTTTCAAGGAGCTCTTTTTTCTTTTAATCATCTTAAATGCCGCTTGTTTTGAATCTAACTGAATAATCTTGCTTGCAGTCTAGGAAATTCACTTGCTCATGGACAAAAGTCAAAATTACTTAGAATATCTGCTTTCAAAGGCAGCAGTCATTATCATGATTCTGGTGGCAGAGCTAATGGCTCAAAGTCAAATAATCCATTCAAAGTTTCTTATTTGCTACACAAGAGTGAAGAGCCCTCTCAAGTGCAAAATCTGGACTCTTTAAAAGGTTTGGAATGTTGTATCATACAGTATCAGTCTATCAGATGACACGACAACAAGGTCAATGGCTATACAATGTTTACTTAAAAGTTAAGAGTTGTTGATAAAAAAAAAAGTAATAAATATTTGAATTATTGAAAACTAGTGAGAATCCCGTACAATGCACGGTGTTTTGTACCTTATAATAATTTTTTCAAAATTTTATTTTAACAATATATTAGCCCGTTGATCCATTTATATTAATATAATTTAACATATATATATATATATTTATCTTTTAATACAGAAAAAATAATAATTTTACATATTTTTTTCATCATAATACTCAAATATTATTTTATTCAAAAATTTATTGTCGTATAATGTCATTATTATTTATAACATATGTAGAAGTAATATTTTTTTATATACTGAGAAATATTTAATGCATATCAATATTATTTATTGATGTAACTAAATAAAAATATATGAACAAATTTAATGTTTGTTTGAAATGTGACTATATGTAAGTTAAGATAAAATATAATGAATCCAAAAAATATGTTAATGATATTTTTCTTTAAATGTTTGAATGAATTTGAATTTCAAATTACAAATCAACTGCTAGTTTTGCAAAGAATTTCAAAAAAGTTTTTAATTTTAGTAAAATTTAAATTTTTAGGCTGGATTTCACTTTCTACTTAAAGTGAATCCCTATTGCTATTTTATAGTAATAAATATGACTTGAGTTGTTTAACAAAAAAACCGTAATTTCTAGAATAACATCTATATTCCAAAAAAACAACATACGAACATTAATTTTAAACTTCAACATGAACACAACAAAACTATGTGTAAATTTACCGCCACGTATTTTGTTGTTATTAATTTAAATTGTGTAATAATTACAAACATATTCAGACAGCCTATTAGTCAAATTTTGTCACAATTTATTTAGTATTAAACCATGGTTCTCAAAACTAGACCAGACAGGCCGGTCCAAAACCAGTTGGCCTAGTGAATCGAGACCAATTCAAATGGTTCAATGGTTCAAACTTATGAATTTGAAATTGGTTGATTGTGAAGTGATTTAAATAACACAATTTTTTTGCTTGTGTTTTCAACGTGAGATATATTCCCTTATTTAACCTATTAGGTCAATATTGGGCTTTACAAGTAAGATTGTACACATTAAAAATATATATTATTTTCAAATTAGACTATCTCTCGAGCTATATGTATTCTCAATTTCCTAGGAAAGAAAGAAGTAATTTATTGTTGTTTGTCATGCACATTATTTTTGTTTGTTATTTTTTAATCAATAACAAAAAATTAAAAACGTGATTTAAAATAAAAATTAGGTTGTTTCTATTCTCTTTATTTTGTAACTTAAAATATAGATTAAAAGAAATTTAAATATAGATTAAAATTTAAAATATAAAAAAAAATTATCAGCATTATTCATTATTGTCGGTTGAATCTATTATTGAGTTATTATTTAGAAAAATGTCATAAACTATAAAATTAATGATAAAAATATATATAATTATATTTTATACATGAAAATAAATAAAAAATTATATACTAATTAAGTCGGTCCGACCAGTGAACTATTGAAATACTAGCTTCACTAATTTAATGACAGATTCGATTTTGAAAACCATGGTATAAATTTTATTTGTATCAAATTTAATAACATGTTTAAATATATATATATATATATATATATATATATATAAATTCGACCATTTTAAAGGACGACGAATTTCATTAAATTTTAGACTAAATTTGATTGGACGATGTAAAACTTTATCACTGGTAGAAATAGGAAAGAAAATAAAAAAATGGATAAACGTTGCGTGTCAAGCTACCCGCACACTTTTGTGACACGCAATCATTTTCATTACTGTTTTCGCAAATATACCCCTTACTTTAGACGTTATTCCATCCTTATCACCAATCTACCCTTGACTCTCGTGGGTCATAATGACCCTCTCTTCACCGTCGGATCATATAATTTAACGCTCCAGATCTAGCAGCGCATCCTAATCCCCTGCGCTGCGACTTTTTGCAACAGGCATCACGATCTCGAGAAAGGCAATTAAAAATCAACGGCCGTAACGTCGGGTCTTCGATTTAATGAACGGCTGGGATTTCAAGAAGACTGTATCTGTAGCTGATGTCAGCAAGTTAGTTCGTTCTTCCTCTATTTATGCGCACAGTCTATTGGATTTGATGTGTTGATCTCGCAAAGTTTCTTCTCTCCAAAACTTCGTTTGAGCTGATTTTGGTCTTGAGTGTTACGGTAAGTTTTTTTGTTCTGATCAATCGATGGTATCTGTTTTGCAATTTTATTGGTTGAATGTTTAATTGTTCATCAATTTTGATGCTATTTTTTTGTGCAGCTGGTATAATATTTTGGTGTGAACTAATTACTTTATGTAAGAAAACGAGTTTTGAGGTCTTGGGGTTTAGGTTGTGCATTTTTTCGGTGAAAATTGGCTAATTTCTCGTTAAAGCGGGTTTTAGGTACATGTATGATTTGAAGAATTCTGTTGCCAGAATCTGTGCTTTACGTAGGTTTATATTTTCGTGATTTTGGTATGTGCTTTTATATATTCCTCATATGGGAAATGCATAAAAAGAAGAGTGAGATTTTTGGGGGCTAGGAAGAAGATTGTGGAAGTTTTGAGATTGCATGGTTTTAGTAAGTGAGTCGATCGTGTATAGGAATTTGAAGAGCCCTTTTTCTGAGCCATTGATCGTCTGCAATTTAGCTTGTAAAGGATGAGCAAGTGTGATTTAACTGGTGTAGATAACAATTACAGAAAGAACAATTCTTTTGTTGGACAAGCTATTAGAGGCTGATTTTCCTGATTGGGCTGTTTTCACATAACATTTCTTAATTACGCATGCTTGGACAGAAAGCTTTGTGATTAGAAAAGATTGAAAGTTTGGAATGTCTCCCTAGTTTTTCGCTTTTGTTTCACAGTATTTTGACCTTTTCCAAGGCTACAAGCAAATAGAAATGTTGATTTAGCTAGCTTTAAAATTTGCGGTATTTTCTTACTTCTGGTGTATCTATGCGTGTGTATGGAGGAATCTTGAGTGTTCAAATTTGTAGTGGCACTATTTTCATGGTTCTGATAAACTAACTATTTTGATGTTACAGGAGATAATGGGAACCAGATACAGAGCTTTTGCCCTATTCCTCTTCCTTTCAAGCCTGTACTTGTCGTTTGCGTTGACTGAACAGAATGATGGGTTGTTGCGGATAGGTCTAAAAAGGAGGAAGATGGACAAAAACAACCGGATTGCTTCTCAGCTTGAATCCAAGGAGGCACAGACACTGAGAGCCTCCATTAGGAAGTATAACTTCCGAGGTAAACTTGGGGATGCTGCAGACACTGACATTGTTGCACTTAAGAACTACATGGATGCACAGTACTTTGGGGAGATTGGTATCGGCACTCCCCCGCAGAAATTCACTGTGATTTTCGATACTGGCAGCTCCAATCTGTGGGTGCCATCCTCAAAGTGTTTGTTTTCTGTAAGTCTTGAATGGTCAATATGTTTTGTGTTGGAAAAAAAAAAAAAAAAAAGGAGTTGTGTGGGTCCATGATGGATGGAATCGCGAAATGTATGTGAACCTGTTGAATTTTGGTGTAGGTCCCTTGTTACTTCCACTCCAAGTACAAGTCGAGCCAGTCGAGCACTTACAAAAAGAATGGTTTGTTCTAGCCATATTGGACTCTGGTGATTTTTATTTATTTCATTGCTTGTGCAGCTTACATTTATATGGTTATATTGAAGATGAGTGTAGGAGTTGAGATGTGTACAGAAAATCTTGGTTGTGTTTGTACTTCTGCAACTTTTTGGATTGATTGATTTCTCTTGCTGCTTGTACAATTGAGATACAGCATTTGGTGTCCACTTGTAAGTAATGCCCTGCACAGTGTATGCTTCTGAAGCAATGCCATGCCACACGTTCCCCCTCCTTACATTTGTTTTCCTTCTTGCCCTCTCTTATAGTGTTAACAATTAGATCAAGAGGTTTACACTATTGCATGGCTCCATATATGCTTTACGAATGATCCAATCTGGTTCAATAAGTGAAACTGTAGAAGTACTTTTCTGAAAACTTCTTATTTCTTAAAGGAAAAGCTGCTGCAATTCAATATGGAACTGGGGCTATCTCGGGATTTTTTAGCGAGGATAGTGTCAAAGTTGGCGACCTAGTCGTGGAGGGCCAGGTTATTTTACTTTTCTTTTTTGTTTTATGCTTTCCATGATGACTAATGTCTGGCACCTTACACAGATTATTTACTTGGCCAGGAATTTATTGAGGCAACAAGGGAACCGAGTGTTACATTTTTGGTGGCCAAGTTTGATGGTATATTAGGTCTTGGGTTCAAAGAGATCTCAGTTGGAAATGCAACTCCTGTATGGTATGCTCTGCTTCACTTAGTTTTTTTATTTATTTATTTTTTTCTTTTATTCTTCACATTTTTGGGTCCTTGTAGGCATGCAATTTGGTTGGAGTTGTGACTTCAATGTTGATTATTTCGTGTGTCTTTCAGGTACAACATGGTCAAACAAGGTCTTGTCAAAGAACCTGTGTTTTCATTTTGGCTAAACCGAAATGTGGAAGAAGAAGAGGGTGGCGAAATTGTTTTTGGCGGTGTTGATCCAAATCATTTCAAGGGCAAACATACATATGTATCCGTAACCCAGAAAGGCTACTGGCAGGTTACTGCTCTACAGATAGATCTTGTCTGAAATTAAAAGCTTATTTCAAATATTATGCCTCATCTTTTAACTGTGTCTGGCTCTGTTTACAGTTTGATATGGGTGATGTGCTCATTGATGGTAAAGAAAGTGGTATGTATATCTTCCAATGCTTACAAAATTTCTGAATTTACTCTAATAGATAGAACTGCTAGTAATTCTCTCATTCAATTGGATAATATATAATGATGTAGTCTATTTTGATCATTGTGGTTCTTAGGGTACTGCAATGGTGGTTGTTCAGCAATTGCTGACTCCGGGACATCTCTATTAGCGGGCCCCACGGTATGATTTTCACTCTTCTCAAAATTGACTATATATGAATCGTGTGCTTTTAGACAACTCTACAGCTATTGGAAGTATCAGTTTGCTAACTTACTCAGACACCGTACATAAAAACTTTAACGAGTCGAAACTCTGAGAAAAGTATTCTAATCACATTCTTTGTGTGCTTGCAAATTTTCATTCTTTGTACATTTCCAGACTGTAGTGGCTATGATTAACCAAGCTATTGGGGCCACTGGAATTGTGAGCCAAGAATGCAAGGCTGTTGTTCAACAGTACGGGCAAACTATCATGGATCTCCTCTTGGCTGAGGTACAGTACAACTTAGTCGTTCAGTACTGAAAAGGGATTATTTTTATATTTTTTCCTTTTTCAACGTAAATCTCCGATTGGATTTTGTAGGCTCAACCAAAGAAGATATGCTCCCAAATTGGTTTGTGCACATTTGATGGAACTCGTGGTGTTAGGTTAGTTTACAAAAGTAGATCACATAATGNTTAAGAGCAAAGGTGCTTATTTGGTTTTTTGTGTAGTGCGGGCATTCAGAGTGTTGTAAACGAGAAAGAGGACAGCTCGTTTGGATTGGGTGATGCCATGTGCTCTGCATGTGAGATGGCTGTTGTGTGGATGCAGAACCAGCTCAGGCAAAATCAGACTCAAGATCGCATTTTGAACTATGTTAATGAGGTAGGGTTTTGTATTGCCAACACTAATAAAAAAAAGGGCTGCTGATTATTATTTGCTCAAGAGTGCGAAACATTTTGTGTCCTGTCTTTAATTTTGGTGGTTCGCATGAAGCTCTGTGAACGTCTACCTAGCCCCATGGGTGAGTCGGGCGTTGATTGTGGAAGCATTTCCTCTTTGCCCACTGTTTCCTTGACGATTGGCGGCAAGATTTTTGATCTCTCCCCAGAAGAGGTATTTATTTTTATCAAACAAATAATGCTGGAANATTGTTTTGTGATGGGTGTGAATCTTGATGTGTCCAGGATATTGGGTGATATATTTATGGGGCGATATCACACTGTGTTTGATTTCGGCAAACTCAGGGTCGGTTTTGCCGAAGCTGCTTAGGACAAATGACGGGCGGGACCCACCCACACTTGGAGCTGCTTTAATGTTTTTATAGTGAATGTTAATGTCTGTCTTATGGTTGTTCCTCTTTTTCAGCGAGCAAGACAGTTGGGCAACTTTGTACTTTCTAAGGTTGCTCCCAACAAACGCAATATATGTAAATATGTGTAAGTCTGTTTTAAACTTTATATGACAATTTGCTCTGTGGTGGGATGTTTTCATGGTGGAGTGTGAATGGTTTGGTTGTCTGTGAGGAGTATCAACGATTACATATGCATCTTCTAATAAAATTAATAGATCTTAGAAGCCTTGAGATTGTTCCAGATTTCAAAGATAGAATATATTTTGGGAGAGTTACAATTGGTTAGACTCTAAAACATAATGAGACTTCAAAAATATAATATATTTAGGGAGATGACATGAAATTCGATCCCTAACTTTAAGAATTTCAAGAATTTTAATTATAAAATAAATTAGAATTTTAAAATGTTTTCAGTATCGAAAACGTCATCCAAAAATTCACCTGACTGTATATGTACGGCCCAACAGTGGATGTACAACAGATCTTGAAACAGCCCGTGATTTTTACTGTTTCTTTATGGTTCCAACAACCCGATTTCATGAGCACGGTAAAATTTCCTCTTTTTTTTTTTTTTTATTTTTTTTCGATGTGGCAAACAAAAAACCTGATATCTTGAAGTACCTGGTCATCCAAGGGCTAGTAAAACCATTGAAGAATAATTAACTAATAAACAATTGAATTATATTTGTAATTCTTTTGGAATTCCTGGACCACTTCAAACAGCTTCCGATGTGTTGACAACTTGACATATTCTTTTTTTTTCTTCACATGATACTGAAAGCTGAAAATTTTAGCTCCTATACTTCACAAAATAGAGAAGATCATCAACATTCACATGACAAAAACAGAATTTTTTCAATTTGCATCTCTTCAAAACTTCCTTTTTCTTTGGCAATATTGTCAAATTTCTACCATGGAGGATTTCTACCTATACAAAATTAGAAACTTGTGAAGGATGTCGGTTATGGCGGTGCCACACTCCGCCATAGCGGGATTTCAATCTATTGTCATTTTCCACCATCTGCCATTGACAACACTGTTCTTTGGGCATAATCTGCATCCCTCAAACAGTATAAATATAAACGCAACAGAAAAAAATGATTAAAAAAAAACATAGGAAAAACGAACCCTTACACAACCTTCTTGCTCTCGGAAAACGACATTCCCCGATCTAACTATCGCAACTGGCTGTGGAGGCTCATATTTTCCTCAAGCAACCGATCGTACTCAAGAAGAAGCCCTTCTGATTGCTTCTTTAGAGCGACTGCATTTGTTCTTTCACTGTTTGCCTCTTCAGCCTTATTTGTAAGCTCTGACTCGAGCTGCTTAATCCTTGAATCTGATTCCATCAACTCCTTTCTTAGAGCAATTGCATATGTTCCTGCACTGTTTGCTTCTTTAATCTTCTCAATAAGCGCTGTCTCGAGCTGCTTAATCCTTGCACCCGATTTAGTCAACTCCTCGTTTAGTTTGTTGACAGACTCTATGCGCTTCGTTCCTATACACAGTTCTTGGATTTTATGGAGCAGTCTGCGGATCATCAACGCAAGAAATAGCAAAAATCCTGAAAAAAAAGGGAAGTGAAGTTGAACAAGATTTTTTTTTTCTCTTTTTTTTTTTTAAAAAAAAAAAAAAAAAATTGAATGTAAGAACAATGTAAAAAACAATGGATGCATGAAATGGTACAATGCAATCCTTCCAAGTTTAAATGTCTCGTGTCTTGACATTATACAATATAGTAAGTTTCACGAACGATAGTTTGTCTTGTTTCTTTCAAGCAGATAAGATTTATAGTAGTGGCGTGTTAAAGATCAAACAAAGCAGTTGAGGTCCACATTAATATGGAACATACTTTCTTTAAACTTCAGTTGCCGCACAAAATTTCAAGAACCTGAAGAGCTGAAACATACATTAACAAGGGCAATTTCCTAGGCATAGTTTCCATTAACTGAAAATAATAGATTCGACAACATATGAACTAACAATGACGAAAGAAGTTACCTTCTTTAGCATGAGATTTCTTAGATTTTGAACTATCTCACAAGCGTCACTAACTTCCCATAAGTTCATGCACATAAGTAATACAAGATGATGTAGACATTTTACACTGTCAATATAATTCCAAATAAAAATGACTATGAAAAATAGCCATAAGCTGAATTGATCAGATTATGCGAGTGTCCATTTTTCCGAGAATACAGCACACGTGCACAACTATTTATCAGTCTCACCACCTAACATTGTCTGAGCTCCTTATATTTACCAAATCGTAATTATCCATTCAAGTGAAAGTTGGGAATTGCTATCGTTCTGAATATATATCACTTATAAATACATAAACTTCTTCTTGGATTATGCTATATTAGAATGTGATGTCTATGTACAGACAGGAAAAAGTGCTATAGTAATGAGATTCCCTTTTACAAATATTAAGACTAGAACTCATCAAGAAAAAAGGAACAGATACCTTCAAAAAATTGATACAAACACTGAAACACACACCACATTATGAACCACACCAATTCATCTACTTTCATTATCAAAACCAGATTTTCTCTAATAACTGCACTTTCACATAGCACATTAGACACTGATACTTCATGATTAAATAATTTATTTACTTCAACGGTAAAAAAAGGAAGCCATTAAACCTGAAAGACGCCTAAGAACAACAACTCTAAATCAATGATCTCTTACAGCTAACACCACAACATTGATACGCCGGACAACACAAATTAGAACACGCAACTTAAATTATGCGCTCGCAGAAAGTAAAACAAAATAAATAAATAAGAAAGAGAGGGTATTTGTTTCGATTGATTACCCATGAGAGAAGCTTCGAGAATCCGATCCGTCAGGCTGACCTCATCACCTTCCCGAACACAACACCTCTGTATCACCGCCGCACGGTACGATGTAGCCATCACCACCGCGAAAACCGTCGCCGACACTATCTCGAAGAGAATCGGGCACAAACCGCGCTTGGAAAGACCCAGACCCATTATCAGTCTTCTCTTTTCGTCTCTCTGCAATTGTGAGTGGGGGTTTTAACTTTTTAAGAGCGGAGATTTTAGCTTTCTTAAGGTAGAAGAATGGGAGACTCACGATTTGGCATGTTAATATTTATGGTGAAAAGTAACTCTTATTTAATTAAAAAAAAAAACTTTATTGAAAAGTAAAAGTTTTAAAGTCCTTTTAGATATATTAATT